GTGAGCAGGGGCCAATAGAAACAAGGGGGATGATGATCTACACACGAGTGGCGACGCCACCAAACAAGGTGGCGTAGATCAGCAGAACCTTAAATCCCCCCCAAAATCCGTTTCCTACCTCACGTTTTTTGTCCCTCTCAGACTACCATCTACCCGTTGAGAATGGGGAGGTTTGGGCGTGCTAGGGTGAGCCTGGAAGGCTTGGCGCCAAACCCGGCAGCCAAGTGATGGGTTCCCAATCTCACCCTGGTAGACGCCTGGCCCCAAAACCCCAGGAGGGTGGGTGGGCTCTGTAGGGCAAGGCCAGTCCAAATCTCATTGGTTCAGAGAAACCAAGTTTGGGGATGAGGCTTTGCCACTCTTGCAAACCCGCACTTCCTGACCTGAGGGTGAGGAAGTGCACAAGGTGGAGTTTCACGCACGCCCTCGTGCGTACCAGGTGATCAAAAGATCACCAAAAGACATCCAGGAACGAAACCACCCTCAACACCATCAGCTGTGAGAGGAGTGGGTTGGATGATGCTCCGTTCCCTATGATCCACTCAATGCAAGTCCGGGTAGATAGATATTTAGATGAAGCTCTGCAGTGCGACACAACTGTCTTGGCGACCATCCTCAACCCATTCTTCCGATTGCAATTTTTTGAACATGCTTTTGGACCAGATCACAAAATCACCGGCCAAGCACAAAAACTCCTTCAAGAAACTTTTGCTAATTGCAAGACCAAACTGGACGCTGTTACAGTAACTTCAAGCAAAGAGTCTCAGCCTCCATCAAATTCAAATCAGCCGAGTGCTAACAATCTCTTTCAGCTTTTCAAGGCTCAAGGACCCAAGGTAGAGTCCAATGAAGTTGCTGCTTACCTCAAAGGTACACATCCCTGTCAGTCAATGATAATGCTTGAGAAACCAAAGCGGTGTTGCCATGGTGGCGGGTATGTATCAGCAACGCTGCGAACCACAACAAGCACATCCAGCGCAGCGTTGCTCCACAAAAAAACCCGACTTTTTCAAAGTCCGGTGGCGTAGCAGGCTTCAAAACCAAAGAGCAACGCTACACCGTCAGTGTTGCTTTTTGATGCTGGGCAACGGGCGCAACAGCAACGCAACTCACTAAAACGTATAAAAACATGAAAAACAAGGTGAATAAACAGATACCAAAGATAGTTATGAATTGGATTGATGTTTTTTAAACACTGTCAAATATAAACAAGAGTAAGGAAAAAACCAAAAAGAAAAATGAAAAAAATCGAGCAAAAATCGAGTCATGGTCAAGTCATGGGTATATCTATGGCTTGTACTTAACCAAACCCTGCTCAATGCCTAGTTCAACAATCAAAAATCTCAACCCTATCATTCAAAAACAAAAAACCACATACTTTATGTCAGACCAATCTCACAAACCTTTTTGAGCTTATAAGAAGGTTAAAGAGGTTAGTTTTGAAGTCAATCCAACTTACATACATTTGTTTCTTGGTTTATATTTCCAACTTCTTTCTCTATTTCACCGACTTTATTTTTGTTCCTTTGGCAGCTCTTTCAATCTTGTGTTCTTTCAATTTCTTTATCATTCTAAATTGATCTGTCTAACAAACCAAAAAAAACAAGTCAAGAGATGAGTTATTAAAGAGAGTCAAACAATATTGGTAAGATGGTGATAGGCATTGTTTTGGAATAAAAAATTGGATGAAGATTATATCAATAAGACGGTTAGAGGAAACAAAAGAGGGGATAAAAAAGCAAATCAAACACAAATTGGGAGGCCTCCAACTTCTAAATGTCCGGGGCGAAGGGTGTTTTCAAGTTTGATCTGAGTTTGGGTATAGGCTTTTGATCTCCTGTGCTGTACTTGACCACAGCCATTGTAAATTGTCCAGATACGTCGATATTGTTTCCAAATTGATTTGTGTAGTATGTATAACAGAGGGTCAAGGAATGATTGTGTGGCGTAAATGTTCCAACAGAATGAATAACCTTCATGGCCCCGTAACACCCGCAACAGTTGCGGTCTGCAGTGCTACAGAGGCGTCTGCATTGCTCTTTTGATAAAACCTACTTTTACAATTGTAGGAAGCTCTGCGGGGTCTTGCACCCAGAGTGCTACGCTGCACGGAAGCGCAGCTCTGTCTGGAAACCGCAATGCCGCGTTGCGCAACAGCAACGGTAAGCGTTGCTTACCCAGTGTTGATATCAGTCTGACTTGTTTGAATCAATGTTTTGTGCATTCACTGATCATTCTCGTATTTATAGATGCACGCAAGTCATCTGGGATCTTGTGTGATTCTCCCTGTGAGTATACATCTATTATTTGTGGACGCATCGGAGTATGGATCTGATTTGATTTATTAATCATATGAACGATGTAGCAAGCCGCCAGTTGACCCATCACCATCCCAGTTTACTTATGATGAGATCCATTTATTGGCTCAAGCAGGTCATCCTTTGAGGTAAAATGGAAGAACCAAGATACAAACGGTTCTTGTCCACCCTTCCATACTGCAACCACGCTTAGAATTGATATATATGGTATGCCTTTGTGAGGCTATGCACATATCTTGGATCCGATTAGATCCATCTGTCAGCAAAATCAGGTAACCCTCCGAGGTGAGATAGAAGAACCAAGATGGAAACCTTCTTTTTCCAGTTTCCCCACTCCAACAAAGCTCAACGTCAAGATTAATGTTATGCCTATGTGAGGTACGCATTGTCAATGACTGCCCGCTTGACCCCTTGTCTGAACTACTTGAAATTCACACTTATCTCCTTGTACTTGACCATTTTGTATTGTCGACAAGTCAAATTAATTTACAACTATATAATCTGATCAGACCAAGTATCCCGTTTTGATCACTCACACCAATCCGCACTTTCTAGATTTTACGAATATCCAGTAGCTTCATTGTACCGACCTTTGATTATATAACACTTCAGTTATCTCTTCATGGACAGGCTGGGATCTAATGTTTCCGATGTAAGCTTACCACAAGCTCAGAATCTTGGTGGGTATGTTCAATCTTTCTTCATTGATACACACCTTTTGATGAATTTCTCCAAATCAACTTCAGCAAATTCTCAAGATAGTTTGGCAGTTAAGATTCACGAAAAAGCCTCCACTTCACCCACCAAGAGCGGCGAAGATGATGTGAAAACAATTTGCACACTTGAAAAACATGGTGGGTTGACATTCAATACCCCGTTTGTAATTTGTTTCAATCAATTAATCAAACTTGCGATCTAGTTTCAGATATGACCAAATTAATCTTTTGTACCAAAAGGGTGATGGAGAATGGTGAGGAGGTTTCATTCTTACATGGCCCTGGATTTTCTGGTAAGGGAAACTGAAGATACTCCACCTCTCTTCAAAGCAATGATATACGTTGACAGAATTCAGAAAAAGTTTGAAGATTTGGAAGTAGATGTCATAGATGTTCAGCTAAACTCAGATTCAAACCGAATCAATCTCAGACGCCATGAAAGAGTGCTTGAAAAGATCTTAGGTCCAGATAGTCATCTTCTTCATGATCACTATGATTCTCATTCTGATGACAACACTCTGCAACAAAATTCTTCTCAAAATGATGAAAGTAGTGTTGTTAGCCAGGACTTGAATTAAAATACTTGATTTGAAATGTGTTTACAACGAATTTCCTGCTTCTCTATTTGCCCTCTCAATACTATATCTCTAAGAATTTCAGTTTGTGACAAACAAATGTTTTGGTATATATTTACATCCACAGGATTCCCACTGTGTACGGATAAATTATCATAAAGCTTGTATCCTCAAATGATTTGGTATAGCTTTACATCCTAGGGTTACCTCTGTAAGGATATATCATCATAACCCTGATGTATCATAGAGAGAGCTGCAATTTGTTCCTTTGGGTTCAACCTGCCATGCGGATTTCAACCCAATTAAAACATATCTGATGTCCTACTCAACCACACTACTTGCGTCAAATCAGAGTAACTATCAGTGATTCTTTATGGTTGCTAGCACGCTTGGTAATCAAAGCTTGTGCCAAATTATACATGTATAGATTGCAAAATGATTTTAGTTCAAGATATGAGGCTTGTACTCTATCTACAGATGAATGGCCAAATCCACGACACCAAGATAGCTCTCAAGAAGCACAATGCGTTGGTAAGACTTCTTGGAAAGATATCAAGACGATCCTCTGGGTTCCTCACTGTGATTTCCTGAGCAGTAGGTCAAATTTAAGCTCAATCCAGACAATCCTGCCAAGAACTGTACCAAACAAGGTCATATTGAATGGATGTTACATTGAGTTTGGATAGCAATTGGAACTTGAGGCGGCTGGCAGTCCAAGTGTTTGGGCTTTGAGTGGACTGGATCAAATTCAGGATGCCCTGGTATCTTGGGAAGTGATTGGGTAGCTGGCAGTCCAAGTGTTTGGGCTTGGCGTGGACTGGCTCAGATTCATGAGGATGCCCCAGGTGTCTCTGGAAGTCATTGGGTAGAGGGACGGTGGGGAGTCGGGACCTGTAAAGCTGTTCAGCCCTTTCTACGGTATCAAAAGTGGAGCTTGATCATTTTCCTCAAAACTCCATACCCTTGTTGTTAAATACGAATGAATCACTCTGTCAAATAACTCAAGTCAGATCTTGTACTAGGACCTTGAAGCCGCTGATTGATCCAACAAACTTCCATCACGAAAATGATTGTTCCTCCCCTTCTCAAGATTCTTTCTCACCATCTCTGGTTCTTGATACCTTGTCCCTTTTTGCGCTGGGTCTCTGTTTCCCTAATCTCGTCTGTTTTGGTCTTGATTTATTATTTCAACAACAACTTAAAACATTGTTTGAAATAAATCAAGATAGTATTATAGTTATCTAGTTATCATAATACCTTCATCGTTTAAACTTTCTTGAAAAGCCTTTTACAATCATCAAATTCTTTGTTTTGTCCATCCTCATTCAAAAATATCAGACAAACCAAATAGAAGTGGGAAGAAGACCAGCAAAGGTACCAACGGATTGATCATGGACATGTTAACCAACAATCAAGAAGATCAATTCGATTCTGCTAATCAGTCAGGCCAAGGAGGTTCATCTACAAACCTTGGCACCGATCGGTCCTGCCCAGGAGGTTCATCAACAAATCTCACCACTCATCTGTCTCAAAAAGGCCAAGGCGATCTATCTCAAACTCCTGACATTGCGATTCTTTTGAACCAAGCAAACTCAATGAATACCAACAGTTTGGGTTCTAGTCATGCCCAAGGGGATCCTGCTATCACTGCAGGTCCTGGAGCAAACCAACCAGTCACTCCTCAAGGAAGTTCTGTTAAGGACCTCGATAAGTCAACAAGCAATCAACCTTCAAGTAAGTTAAGGAATCTGATATCAATGATTCAAATGTGGTATTGAAATTTTTTCCTGCGGAGCAAGATTCGGAAATCAGCCTTTCAAATCCGCCAAACCTTGATGAACCAAATGGCTTCTTTGCCGCAAAACCAAATAGTGTTGTGGAATCAACTACCAAATTGGCTAAAACATCACTGAACGACCAACAAGAACAAGCCCGTGATACAAATATCAATCAGGATAGTTCTCAAGATATCAGCTCTTCTCATACAAATTCTCTGAACCGGATTAACAGTGTTGTGGAAGCAACTACCAAATCCGCTAAAACATTATTCAACAGCCAACAAGAAGAAGCCAGCAATACAAATATCAATCAAAATAATCTTCACGATGTCAGCTCTTCTCATCCGAATTCTCCGGACCGTATTGAAAAGTCTACTCCTTTCACCAGTACAACAGATGGAAATTAGGACAAAGATACCTTTATTTCAGACAGGCTAGCGTATGAAATTGAGAAAGCTGGGAAGTCTCTGGCTCACTCAGATTTTTCCTCAGCGGATACAGGAAACATTAACTCTTCTTCTTTGACCAACAACTCCAATGATCAAGTGGAAACACCTTCTCAATCTCATCCAGCTTCAACACCTCAGGCCAATCAGAAGAGCAGTGCGACTGTTGAAGACACTAGTTATCAAAGAAATATCAGACCAAGACTAGCAACGTCTGATACCCCAATTCCGTCTAATCAGCACTCTGATGCTGCCTCAAAACCCCATTTGCTCTCTGAAACTCTGACCCCGGCAAAAGCGGCTTCTGACTCGACAGCCACAATTCCCAATACTATTGAACAAGCAACAAGTCATTCTCTTGGAAGTTGTGTCTTAGATATCAGTGAAGACTTGAATCATCAAGAAGAAATCCAGAGCAACCACAAGCAATCACAATTGACTTCTTTTGACATCTCTACCTTAAAAAGGGATGTTCGAGCAAGAGTCGAGGTTGATAGTACTTCTATTCAATCACCGCAGCAGAGCTCAGAGAAGAAACCTTTGTATGCATCAACTGCCATTCCCATTTACTCTAAGCTCATGGCTGCTTTAGAAGAAGCAAAGCTGTCCAATTGTTGGACTGCTCCAATTGCAATCCAACTGGAGGAACTTGCTTCCAAGTGTATGAAAACCGGCAATGGTATGTCTCTTTGACTTTGAGGGTATTAACTCATTTACTTTTACTAATTTATTTGTTTTGTCAAAATAGCAATAATACAGAAGAAACCCCTTCCCCCCAAAGACGAGGTGATAATGATCCCGGACAATGAGGACGAAGACCTACTCACAAAATACGGAATTTCTCTTCAACTCTTCAATATTGACAATGGCCAACTCAATCCGATTGCAAGTACCAGCCAAAATAATTCAACATACAACGTGACGAAAGGGCCACTTGGAGGGGAAGAGAATCACGACCGCCTGGTCGACTTGAAGAATGTAGCGCTTGAAAACAAGGAGATCCTTGAGGATAATCATGACACGCTTGAAGTTTCTCAGACCGAAGTTATAGGCGATAAGAGGAAGGGTGGGAAAGATGGATTTGCGGTCTCAACTTCACCTAACCCTACTTGCGAACATCAGATTCACAACGTCAATGATATATGTAGTGAACCTAATCAAGCTACACCGACAAACCTACCTGATAAACAAACTCAAGAGTCAGCTTGTCTGTATGATCAAGCCTGTGATCAAGACCCACCAAACACATCTGACAAACGAACTGAAGATTCAGCTGCTATCAACGATCAAGACTGGCCAGCCCTATCTGCAGAGCAAACTGAACAGTCACCACCTGTGGATGATCAAGCACGGTCCACCCTTTCCAAAGAACGAATTGACAATTCAACTCCTATGGACAATCAAGGTAATCAGTCAAACAATCAAATAACCAATTCAGAGGGTCCGGTTGAAGAAGATGTTCACCAAATCAATAAAAGAAATTTGTGAACAAGAAGAACACCTTTTGTTGTCGTTGTCATTCCAAAAGCTAGCGATAGAAACAAGCCCGCCAAGACTTCAGCCGTTTTAGAAAACCAACAAAACCAGCAACATTCAACAGCAGTAGGTGTGAAAGAGAAAGAAGTGGAAGTAAAAGGAAAAAATAATGTAGGAACAAAGAGAAAGAAAAATGAAGTGATAGAGAAGGAGAGCCTTGCTCCAGGTGAGATTCAGTTCAGTTCATCTCATTCACACAATTGTTTTCTGACTTGTGTTATAAAAGGAAACAAGTTTTTCCTAGGAACGGGGCCAATGGAGAAGGAGCTGAAGGAAATGTTATCACCGTACAACAGTAATCAAACTAGTAAGGTAGCAAAATTGGCGGCCTGGGATGCATTGATTTCCTTATTAAATCATAGACGGTCAGGCAAACCGTTGGATCAAATCTTCTTAGGTTTTATTGAAGGTGGAACAAGCAATGTAATCATAAGGACACAATTCAATGCACAAACACTACACAAAATATAATATTTTCTGGGCAGAAAATTAAATTATTGATACACAAAAATATTGAGAGGCCAGGAGAAGGGCAAAAAATAAATAAAAATATGCATCTTGTTCCCTGCGGTGAGAGCTTCACTCTCCATATTTTTCCATATTTTTACAGTCCGTATTGATAAGTGTACTAACAATAAACCTTCATAATCATCCAATTACAACCTGTAACAAGCACTGAAATTTGGCTCATTAGTGTTTAGAGAAACTTTTGATTTCTGAAAACACCTATAGCTTTCTCAAATCCGCCTCAAAACACTCGATTTTGAGTGCATTAGAAAGCTGAACTCTTCCTCTCGAACTTTCATAAGATCAAGAACTATGTAGCTAGTATGACAATCATTCTATGGATCTGTATGTACAAATGTATAAAAAAGATGATATCTTTTTTAGCAGACCAGCATGCTGTGTGGTCCAAAAAAGATGATATCTTTTTTAGCAGACCAGCATGCTGTGTGGTCCCATTATGAATTATTTGGAGGACAATTCCAGCTTACCAATGCACCCAAAATCGAGCGTTTTGGACCGGAATTGAAAAAGTTATGAGTATTTTCAGAAATCAAAAGTTTCTCTAAACACTAATGAGCCAAATTTCAGTGCTTGTTACAGGTTGTAATTGGATGATTGTGAAGGTTTATTGTTAGTACACTTATCAATATGGACTGTAAAAATACGGAAAAATATGCAGAGTGAAGTTCTCAACGCAGGGAACAAGATGCATATTTTTATTCATTTTTTGCTCTCCTCCTGGCCTCTCAATATTTTTGTGTATCAATAATTTAATTTTCTGCCCAGAAAATATTATCTTTCTTGTAGTGAAAACTGGTTCCAGACAGTAGGCTTGACAAGTCAGTTTCCACATAGTTTGATTTATAGATAACAATAATCAGAGATGCTAATACTGTGCTGGTGTAGTGCCCAAGCTTTTCAATTCTCATGAGGGAGAGCCGGCTCACGCATTGGGAATTTTCAACACCGTACATTTGCAGAATGAAGCCCTTGCAGATAAAGTGCCTGAAGGAGTACCAGCGGTCTGGCACCAAACCTGGCAATCTATGCGGATGTTGATTCGACCTTCATCAAACCGAGTCGCTGTGTTCCTCAAGATTTTGCTTGACTGTTGTCTTCTCACTGGAAAGGCATTCTTCAAGGAACCTCCTGCATCAGAACAAGAGATGGCAATGACCGGTTTAGGAGCTGTTTGCCAGGCAATACAATGGCTAGATTCACAGAGAAGTCTGAAAGCTCCTAATCCTGGCACTGTCCACTTTCTTGAATTCAACAATTCCCACTCCCTTGTTGATATTGGTATGATACAGCAATGGCAAGAAGTTTTCTTCAAAGTTCTTGATGCGTACGTTGTTGAGTACTTTGAAGCTAATTACATTCTGAACAAAGATGAAAGTCCAGAGGACAAAACAGCGGCAATCAAGTTCAAGAAGAATTGGAAAGGGGACTCAATGAAAACCCCAACACTGGGATATTTGACAATTTTTGCTTGTTGTGGAATTCGAGGGCTAATCTGTTGCACAAATGATGTTGACATCACTCCAGCCGGTCAAATGCTCAGTTTCACGGTCCTTTCAGAATGGGTCTGTCAACAACCTCCAAATTTTCAAGTTAAGGAGCCAGTTTTCAAGTGAAGCAATCAAATGCTCATGAAACTTATTGACAGGCTCTTTGATAAAGATGGTCATTTTGTCAAGCCAGAAATTACAGGGTACAATGCAGCAAAAAATTTGTGTTTTGATTATCTATCATATTGGTTTCTGGTGGCTGGCAAACTTTCAGCGGGGGGGAGCTTAGTCTTCCCAAAGTCTTCTGTGTTTTCTGGAAAAAACCAAATCATAAAGTTTTCATAAGATTAACAAATTTTGTGTCTTTCACTCCCACTTTGAAATTCTTGTTTTAACTCTACTTATTGACGAGAAACACACAACTTAGATGAGATTTGCTTTGATCTATGTGTAGCTACTGCTTGGATTGGCTTGAAATCATCTGTATAAATTTTATTTGTGATGAGGATGTTTGAACCTTGATGTAACATGTTTCAAAGGGAATAATATTGAACATTGTATTTTGTCCCTAAATCTGACTTTTGTTTGACAATAGATTTTCTTATCATGAACGTTCAGCTGCTGTCTCTGCTGTTGCTCAATACAGCAGAATCAAAGGTTTATCAGCTGAATCAACAGCTAGCACAAGCAAACTGCAAAGTTCAAAGGAGTAGCCCTTTGTATCTTATCTCAGTTATGTTCTAACTAAGGCGCTCATAGGACTATGTAATCCTTTCTCAGCACCATCTGAGCACCCTTGAGCCTCAGTTTACACCACTGAGGGAGCGTATGGGTATCAAGGTCTTGATACCCATATATATAGAGGCAATTATCTCTCATGTGCTTCATTGACTTCTTACAATATCTATATATCGTGTTCACTTTTGATTGATCCCATCCAGCAGAATCTCAGACATAAACCATCACTGATCAGATCCAACATGAATCAAAACAAACTCCTATGTACACCTAGCACTCAAAAGCATCCAATGACTATTAAACTGGAGGAAGCAAGGAACTCAAAGCATTTACAGAAACTGGTTGCGCTTGACAAGGATGTGGATTATAACCATATCCTCTGAAGTAAAGGAAGGCTCCGGGAAATGATGGATGATTAGGTGTTGGTCAAGGAGACCTTGTGACGAGGTCAAAGAAGGACGAAATAGTCAGACACTACAGACAATATGCTTCACCTTTGGTTGATCAATATCTCCCCAATACACCAGCTATTCCAGTCTCATGTTGAAATGAAGATATTACAATGAATGAACCTTCCACCTTCAAAAAGAAAACAAAAGAACCTTCCACCTCCAAAAAGAAGATGAAAGAACCTCCCACCTCCAAAACAAAAATATCTAATGCTACACCTGAATCCTCCACTGATGATCTACAAACACCATGCCGTGTACCAAAATTGAAGTCAAATGTTACTGAGCTCCGTGAAGGCCTTGTAAAGAGCTTCGACAAGATGGCCTCTCGTCAATTCACCCAGAGTCAACTTGTTAAACTTAAATCACATGTTACGGGTAAACAGAGCAAAGGCGTCATGCAACCCGGAGATTATCAGAGACCTCACATAGTTTCTTTGGAAGAAACGTCGAAAAAAGATCGTGACACCATCCGAAAAGCCTTACACTGTTACTGTCCCCAGTTATGGATCCCCCTCAATGTAGCAGAAAGTCGTCCTATGTTACTGGCTCTCTACAATCATTGTCTCCTGGATGAGGAGGAGCCAACCCTATGTCAAGGAGTACATTATGATATATTTCCAATTGAGTAGCTGAACATGGACGGTTACATCAGTTTCTGATTAGTTATCATTTAATTTGTATAATTTGCTTTGTTTATGTTGTCAAAGTCAGTCAAATTTTTATTTTTGTTGTATCTGTTTTTCAGAAGATCAGTAAAGGATCTGAATTCAGTGCTCTGGGACAAAAGAAAGACTTTGTATCATATCTAGCCACATAATTCAAACCATGTACACAATGGTAAGTTTTTGCTTTTGAATTTGCAATATTCATCTTATATTTCAATCTCTGAGGATCTGGTTCATGCTCAGCGCTGAATTCTCCATCCATACTCTTGTTCAAACTGGTTTTATGGGTTAGATTATAACATGACCCTGATCCCTGCAGGTACTCTATAATTTGAGTACTAGCATGATTGTTGTTAATTTTTTACAATCAAGGAATTGAATTTGCGCATCTAATTGAAGCATTTTATGATTCTCATACCACATGCTTTCATTTCCCTTCAAAAATGATAAATTAAAGCTGTTCATAAATGTATAATCTTCAGTGATAAACAAGTACTATCATCTTCTACATTAATCCCACATTTTAAGGTCGAAACAGTCCCTTTTCCCATCAGAGCTGCTTGATTGGGAATTTTACAAGTTCTTGTTCTAAAAGAATGACATGCTTGTCCAAAAACGTGTGGTTTATAGCTTGGGAATTGGGTTATTTCAATTTAACTGTAATTTAACCTAAATCAATGATCAGTAATCATATTAATTTGTTTGCTTGATACATATCCTTTGCACAGGGGCCAAAATTGATGCTCACATGTATGTGAGCGTTGTAGACTTTCTTGAAGTCTCCAAAAAAGATTCATTTTCTTTCAGATTCATTCAATTCACAATTTTGGTTGTGTTCAGGTGATCAGCCTGTTTTGCTCACATTTTGCTTGACATTTCTTGAGAAGGCTCATTTTGTGAGGAGTCAGCAACTGTTGGGCTGACTCTTCACTAAGAAAGGTAAGGAGTAGTCAAAGATTAAGCCTTCACTTGTTACACCCAAGTGAAGACTACAGTTAGTTGACCTCTAACGAGAGGATTTATGGCCAGTGGGATGGCTGAGTAGTCCTTCTAAGGATCTTACTCTGAGCTTGGGTTGATCTTACAACTACCAAGCCTGCAGTACTTTAGACTCTGAAGAATCAGAGGTGCCACTGGGTACTTTAGACTCTCTAATGAGGTGCCCTTTGTAAATTCCAAGCTTGTTCTGTTAGCTATTGATCCCACAAGCTCAGAACACTACTTGAGGTTTTACAATGACCTGGATGAAAACAGAACTATAATAATCAAGATACAACAAAATGACTATACTCAATATTCTATGTAAACAATCAAGTAAGATTGTGATGAGTAGTTGTGGTATGATATGAAGTTGTTCTTCTTCCAGAGTGGGAAGAAGAGGGTTTTATATATTCCAGACCTAGGCGTCAACTTGTGGTTGGCACTTAGGTTTGCTTTTCTTTTGAGTTAGGTTTGGGTTAGGTTTACTATGAGGTTAAGTCGTAGTAAGTCTTGTTACTTAAGTGACTCTTGAAACTGAGCCATGAGTTGTAATTCTTATGGTTTTAAACAAGTTTCATATATTTACATATTATTTACATATGTATTACATGTGTTTACATGTGTGTTTGTTAGTCCGTGGTCCTGTACACAGGGCTCAGGGCTGACATTCCCCACCACCAGTGAAGGTTATCCTTCTACTGAATTGCTGTATCTCTCTTAGCTGCTCTAAAAGCTCTAAGAGTTACTTTTGAGTTAGGTACTTTATCTCCTGGGAGCCATTCGTCTCCATCAGCTCCTTTACCTTTATATCTCACCAGGTATAAGATGGTGTCCTTACCATCCTTGTCTTTGACCCTTTTATCTTTAAGTATCTTTAGAAATTCTTTCTCTCCTTCTGGCTCATACGGAGGTATGACCACTACTGGTACTGTCTTCGTTTGTCTAATATCACTAGCCTCAGGTGGAGTGTACTTCTTAATCAAGGACACTGGAAACCCAGGATGCCTCCTTTCCAACTCGCCATGTAATATCAGTTCAACTGCATTTGTGCCAACTAGTTTTGATATCACAAAAGGTCCCACAAATTGATCTCGTAATTTCTTAGGTCCCTGGATATTATTGAAATTTACAGTGGAAAGCAGGACTTGTTCCCCAACAGAAAATTCAGGCTCTCGATGCGACTTATCCCATCTCTTTTTGTTATATTCTACTGACTCTCTGACACACCTAGTAGCATATTCCCTTGCTCTATTTAGCATTGTTGCAAAACTTAAAGAGGTAGGGTGAATATCCACATCCCTACTCCGAAATTTGTCCCTGGGAAGTCTAGGACAGAACCCTCTTTCCACTTCAAAAGGACTCTTTTTTGTGCTACTGTGTATACTGCTGTTGTAAGCTATCTCCAAGGCAGGCAGTAAGCTTTTCCAGTCATGTGTAATCCCGTCTTTGTCTTTGTATTCGAGTCCAAATGCACAATACCTTCTTACCATTTCTGATAAGGTCTGAATCATTTTCTCTGCAAGCCCATCTGTTTGTGGGTGGTGTGCGGTAGAGAATGCTAATTTGGTCCCCATTAGACTGTAAAGTCCTTTCCAAAATTCTGAAGTAAACTTAGGATCTCTATCACTGATGATGACTCTTGGAAGTCCCACATCACTTATCAGTCTTTCCCAAAATAGAAGCGCAATATCCATTGCTGTGGACTCCTTGTAACACGGCAGAAATCTGGCTCGTCTTGAAAACCTATCAACAATAACCAGGCAAGCATCATAGTTCTCTACTCCTGCTGGTGGAAGTGCTGTGACGAAATCCATATTAATTATCTCCCACGGGTATGTTGGCTCTTGGATGTGTTGTAATAGGCCATACCTCTTTCCAGTAGCTTTATTAGCCTTCTGGCATCTTTCACAGCTGTTAACATACATCTTGGTATCCAGGTTTCTCTTGATCCACCATGCCGTAGTACAAACTTTTTCTAGTGTTTTATCTTCACCCATGTGTCCTGCAAGTATCTCATCATGGCATACTTTGAGCACTTGTTCTTTATGAGCTTTATCCACAAGTACTATTACAGAGGTATGCTTTTCTCTGTAATAGAGTAATCCAGATTGCAAAGAAAATTTTCCTTCAGCGTAAAGTTCCTTCCATGGAGAATCCAAACTGGTAACTAAAGACATATCTATTTTATCTTGACTCATAATCTTAATCAACTGTGTGGTGTTAGGATCGTTATTATAACTCTTCTGAATTTCTTCAAAAAATTCATCACTAAGTTCAGCCAAACTCAATCCCATCACTGGGATGTCAAGTTCTACCTCCTCAGGCTCCCATGCTGGATTGGATTCATCATTGGGTAAAGCCATTCTGCTCAATCCATCTGCATTGTTGTGCATTTTTCCAGGTCTATGTGTAATGGTCATATAAGGCCGATATTCCTGGATTGCAAGCATCCATCTAAGCATATGCCTATTTGGAGTTTTGATATTCATCAAAGACCTGACTCCTGTGCAGTCAGTGATGACCTCAAAGTACGCTCCATCCAAATAATAGTGGAGTTTCTCAAGCGCCCAGACTAATCCCAGAGCTTCAAGTTGTGGAGACCCATATCTGGTTTCACTGTCTTTCAGTTTGCGTGATATGAACACAATTGGTCCCTCTTGCAACCTCCCATCAATGATCCTGGATTGATGAAGTGCTGCTCCTAAACCATCAAAAGAAGCATCTACATAGAGTTTGAAAGGTTTAGTGAAATCTGGTTGCAATAATAGTGGAGCACTACTAATCATCTGTTTAATAGTGGCCCACACCTCTGTCCTTTCCTTGGTCATTTCAAATGCAACACCCTTGCCTAAAAGTTTGTATAAACTACTGGAGATTTTCCCGTAATCTTGCAAGTAATTCCTATAGTAGCTTGCAAATCCCAAAAAGGCTTGCAGTTCACTAATATTCTGTGGACATTGTTTGTTCAGAACTGCTGCTACTCTGTTCTGATCTATGGCAATCCATAAACCAGACACAATATGGCCCAAAGCTTTTACACTGTTAAAACCAAAATGACTCTTTTTAAGGGAAATAGTCATACCCATCTCTCGCACTTTCTGTAGAATCCTTTCTACTCCTTTGATATGATCCTCCCAGTTATCATGAAAGATGATGATATCATCAATGTATATGATGACCCAGCCTTCCCGTAATTCTTGAGAAAACTCTATGTCCATCATCCTCTGGAAAAATGCTGGTGCATTCTTGATTCCAAATGGCATCCTCAGATATTCGAAAATACCTAGATAGCAGATGATTCTCAGGAATTTTCTGCTATCTTCTGCTACTATATTCTGATGGAAACCTTTCATTACATCCATGAGTGTAATATACAAAGCCTTTCCAAGGTTCGTGAGCGCATACTCAATACAAGGAAGTGGGTATCTATCTGGCACTGTGTATGTGTTCAATGCTTGAAAATCACCACATAGCCTTGATTTACCGTTATGCCAGGCTATTATGACTGGTGTAGTTATATCTACTTCTTCATCCTCTCCTACTTTACGGATAACTCCATATTGCAGCAGCTCTTCAATATGCTTTTCAATCTCTACTCTATTCCTGGGGCTAGCGGGATAAGCTGCTTTCCTCAGAATAGGCGGGTAAGGCTTCTCAATATTGAGTTGAACATGGACAGGATGGCTTTTGATGCTTCCTAAAGGGGAATCTCCTAGCCCAAATTCTTTACAATACTCATGAATAAGCTTTACAAACTTTCCTTTTCGCTCTGGCTCAAGCTTAGGTGAGAAAGCTGCTTCTTTGATTCCTTCTTCAACCTTCTGCATTTGAGACATCTGTGTCCCCACAGGTTCAATTTCAGGCTGGTCTTCAGACTGAGTGACCCTTAGTCCTGCTAAGATTGGTCTTTGGAGTGGTAGTCCAAACTTCTTTTTCTTAACATCATTTCCAATGGTGAAATACTTTTCTCTGCTGTGGAAAAT